TGGAGAGCCTGGGAGGACTTCCCCGAGAGGGTGGTGTGGGAGCAGGGTGTACAGAGGGGGCGGGGCGTACAGAGGGGGCGGGGCACGACCACAGCCGCTCCCATTCAGTGAGTGGTTACTAAGTGTCAGGCGCCCTTTCAGGCCATTGCACATGCAATCCTCACAGTGGCACCAAGAGAGTATATTCATCCGTGTTTTACAGATGAGCGCAAGGAGACCCAGGTTACAACCTGCGAGTGGCTTGGCTAGTGGGTGACGGAGCCTCCCTTGGGAACCAGGGGTGTCTGGCTCCAAAGCACATGACTAGAGTGGGTCCCACCCTGGCTGTGTCTCCTGGAGCTGTGGTCTCAGGCTCCCTGCTCCTCGGGGAACAGAAACCCCCCGAGTGGACCGTGCCCAGCATCTCAGCACTAAGCACTCTTCTGTGGTCATTTCATTCCTAGATTTTCCAAAACAGCCTCCAACACCCAGAGTCACAGCACTTTCATCAAGTCGGTGCCACCGTTCCTTCAGACCCATGGCTTCGATGGGCTGGAACTGGTCTGGCTCCACCCTGGACGAAGGGACAAGGGGCATCTTACCTCTCTGGTCAAGGTGATGGTGGGGTCTGGGACAGGGGCAGGGAGGCAGACAGGACCAGGAGGGGTGGACAGAACTGTCTCCTACTGATGTCCTGTGAGGGCGGGGAAGAGGGATTGAGGCCTCCATGCTTCAGGGTCCTGGGACCTGACCCCGGAGGTGGACCCGCAGACCTGTGTCCAGAGACCCCACAGAACAGGAAGACGCCATGACCGCAGTGCGGGCACGGTAGGGTCAGTAAGCAAGCACCCATGTGTCGCTGCCCACTTAGTGGGTGTCACTGTGCACAGTCCCTATGACGGGGACACTCAGGCACATCCAGGGAGAGCAGCCCAAGCATCTCCAGGGACCAGCGGGGAGCGACTGTCCAGACAGATTGCCCACAGCACCAGCCCAAGCACGTTCAGAAGTGATACTGGAAGGAATCATGGCTGAGTATTTCCAAAAGACGCGAAGGCACAGATTCAAGGAGCGCTAACCCTTAACCACTCACCACCAAATTGGTGAAAAATGAAGTTAAAGAGAGGACTTTAAAAGTAGCCAGCAGAAAAGGCACAATTATGTTAAATGGAGTAAGAAGCACAAGGCTTCAAGACTCTTCAAAAGGGAACACGAAATAAAGATGTTTGGGGATCAATAAGAGGTATCAGGGTTTCTCACCAGCTCACCCGCACTCAAAACAAACACTGAATGTTCATCAGGCAGGGGGAAAACTATCCAGATGAAAGGAGTGAATAAAGAATAAAGACTGCCAACCTGAAAGATGGATTAAACTAAATAAATATTGACTGTTACATAATATCTTGTGGGATTTAAAACATATATACAATAGACATGATTTAAAAAAACAAATTAAAAGTTGTCAATAAGAACTTACAAATCTGGAACCCAAAGTCTTATCTGAGTCCTGGCCAAAAAAAAAGCACCTCCCCAAATACTGCTGCGCCTACTGCCACCTAGTGGCAGCATACAATAATTGCAGGGTAAGCTAGGAGAAGAGATTTACAAGGAGTAAAGATTTACAAGGTGTAGTAACCAAAACCTAAAGTTATCAGTAAGCATGGCAACCTGGCATCAAGTTGTCCAATAAATATTTGTTGAATGACTAGGTCATTGCTATGTTTTCTTCCTGTATTTATTTTTAAGAAAAAAAATCACACTAAAATAAAAACTGGCATCTGTCCATTATACAGAATTCAGTCAAACATGCTGAAGTCCCAACGATGGAAGTAAAAACACAACCCCAAGCCCACCAGCCAGAATAACCAATCACATACGTGAACGTCCTTTTGGACAACTTAATATGCAAATACAAAAAGAGAAGCATGGGTGATGAACAGATGGGTAGAGATATTTTATGAAAACAATCATATCTTGGATACAATTTTAAATTTAACTTTACTTTAATTTCACCAAACAAAGAGAAGTTTATGGAATTGCTGAATTCATATATTTCCTCGATACAAGAGACATTTCCCCTAAAATATCCCTTCAAGATTAAAAAAAGAAACTGTGAGAACATTAAAGGTTGAAGTCATTATGATTTTCTCCAAGGACATAGTTTCATATTTTTTTTTTTTGGTATAGACTAACTTCTTGCTGTGAAAGATGAGTTCACTGGCCCAGCCACATGGGCATGAACACACAGTTCTGAAAATACTGAAGCCCTTCTGTAGTTAGTAAATGTCAGCCACTGCACTCTGCCCAGGGCTCTCCCTCTCTCTTGGCTGCCCGATCCGACCGCCAGGACTGTCTGCCCCGAACCCAAAGACACAGGGGAAAGGGGCCTCTGGTCCCATCTCCCAGTCGCCTTCAACACCCACCCCCAACACCCACCCCTTCGCCCCAAGCAGCTTAGCTTCCATCTGCTTTACATAATGGCCTCAGGTAAAGCTTTTGAAAACCGCTGCTCAAGGTCAGCCCTCAGGCCCTTGCAAGTTTGCACAGCTAGAAGAATGGAGGCCTTTCTCCCAAACACAGCTCCTATGAAGTCAAGTGAACGTCTGCCTCCTGGTGTCATTACCTCGCTTCCTAATGGGCAGCAGACACAGACCTGCGGGTGTGGAGACGGCCCCTGAGCCGGCTCTAAATTGGATGAGGCAGAAGGTGCTGGAGCCCATGCTCAGCAGGGAGTGGGCTTTGATCCGTGCCCAGCCCTGTGCCAGGTGCTCACGGTCCAAATCCTCTCCAATCCTGAGAGGTGTTTCTTTGCTCCCTTCCCTCCCTCCCTCCCTCCCTCCTTCCGGATTTACTGAGCACCTGTCTGTGCCAGGGGCTGGGGTATAAAGGCAAAGCTAGCACCCCAAGACCTCACCGCCCCGTGAGAGCATCATCCACAAAACGGCTGTGAACGGGGTGGGTGCAGGATGCAGGGGGAGCCCCAAGTGACTCAGGGAAGGTTCTCCAGTGGAGTTAAAGCCAAGCTGGGACCTGAAGGATGAGGAAGGGCATTCAGGTGGAGGGAACTGCCTGTGCTAAGGCAGGGAGGCAGGAAACAGTCTGCCCGGTCAGGGAACTGTGGGAAGGCGATGGAGCCCAGGTACAGTAACTCTGCTGGGTGAGGTTGGGGTCCCAGAACCCACTACCCGGACCCTCTACCTCCTTGACTTCTTTTGCTCTGGGCTGCCTGGAAGAACCCCCCCCCCCCCCATCTGCACAAAAGGCGGCTTTGAAGCTGGAGAGAGGGAGTGAGGAAGGAGGGGACAGCCCCTGTGCATTTTTCGATTGCTTCTCAGGAATCTCCTCCTCCTCCTCCTCCTCCCATACCATGGCAACCAGGCTGCAGCTGGGGGAGCAGACTGTGAGCTGGGCTAAGTTGAGGGGAAGTGGGCAGGGGATAGGGACCTCTGCTCCCCTCTCTGAGCCTGTTTTGGCATCTAGAACATGGGCACCACCACCCAGTTGCTGGCTCCTGTCGACCCAGGTGCCCCAGGAAGCCGAGGCCCAGGCTGGACGCATGAGGGGGAGGCCTGGGAGGGGAGGGCGGGGCTGGGGAGGACCCTGCATCCTCCTGCAGCCGGGTGTCCGCCAGGCGGCGGGAGTCCCTGAGCCGCGTGGCCTGCGCTTCCCACCCAGCGGCTGCCTGGTGCGCCCACTGCACCCACCGTCACTGCCAAGGAGCCCGAGGGAGCAGCAGGCAGTGCCCAGGCCCAGGCCCAGGGATGGGTCTCCCCGGGAGCCCCGCCGTGAGCGGTCTAGGGGTCTCCCCTGCCGGGGCACAGGGCTCAGCGGTTCCCAGAACCCGGTCAAAGCCCCCAAAGGAGGGTCCGTGTCTTGGGGCGGCTGCTCCGATGACTGCAGACTGGCCTCAGCCAACAGGACCCTGTGCTCTCCCCGTTCTGGGGCCAGAACCTGAAACCAGGGCCTGTGCTCCCCCCAGAGGCTTCCGGGAGGGGCCTTCCTGCCTCTGCAGCCTCTGGGGGCTCCTGGCCCCATCCCTTCAATCTTCAAGAATGAGAGTGTTTACGTGGCCCCGCCCCCTTACCCAGAGGTCACAGGTAAAGGAGTCACACAGGCTGTGGGCAGCCCAGGGTTCCCTTTTCAGCTCCGCCCTTTTGCTGCTGTGTGCCCTCGAAGAAGTCGCTCGCCCTCTCTGTGCTGCAGAAGCCTCACCTGTGCCATGGGTCACAGCTCTCCTCACAGGAGTGTGGGGTGCTGGTGTGTGCGCCCCACTTGCCCTGAGGGCTTTCTGCTCCCCAGTCAGCACCCCCGCCTCACCACCCTCCCCTCCCCCAGCCTCCAGGGACGGCACAGGCCCCTCTGACCTCCCGCATGGACGGCCGGCCGCTGCTCTCCTGTCTCCTTTCAGTCCTAGCTGTCACTCCCACAGGAAAGAGAGGACTTTGTCAAAGGGCTGCCGACAGGTGTGAGGACAGGCGGACAGCCAACCAGGGAGGCGGCTCCCCGGAAACAGGTCCATCCAAGGCCTCAAGGGGGCGGGGCCACGCGATCACCAGGAAGTGAACAAGGGGCGGGGCCACGTGACAGGGGGTGGGGCCAGGTAACGCTGACCCCCCAGCACGAAGCCTCACGCTGAACCCCAACCCTAAAGCCCAGGTCCCGGCCTAAATCCTAACCCTTTAGCCCTGGGCCCTGACCCCTAAGCCTTCCCTAACCCTTCCCTTCTCATCCTCCAGCTTTTGCCCTCACCCCCTCCCCGCGCTCCCCGCGGCCCCGCATCTCCGCCCTAACACTCGGCAGCGCGTTCCCTCGAGAAGCCCCAGCAGCTCCGCCCGGACTCGCGCCCGCAGACGCCAGGGCAGCGGAAGTGGGCGCGTGTCCGCGCAGTCGGTGTCAGGACTGTCGCCCGAGCTCACACAACCCGCGTGCCGCGGCACCTCACGATCCCAGGCACGACACCGGAAGTTGGTCACACCCCTCGTCCAATCGCTTCCGGTCGGCTGTCCGGTGCGCCTTCCGGGACCCGCCTTCCGCCTTCCGCCTTCCGGCGGGGGCTGCGGCTCCAGGTGGCAATACCCACGCATGGCGGTCGTGCGCGCCGGGGCGGCGGAGCTGGGCTTCGCGGAGGTGGCGCCGGCCTGGCGGCTGCGCAGCCAGCAGTTCCCCAGCAAGGTCGGCGGCCGGCCGGCGTGGCTGGGCGAGGCCGGGCTGCCCGGGCCCGCGGAGCTGGCGTGCTCGCTGTGCGGCCGCCCGCTGGCCTTCGTGCTGCAGCTGTACGCGCCCCTGCCGGGCCGCGCCGACGCCTTCCACCGCGGCCTGTTCCTCTTCTGCTGCCGCGCGCCGCCCTGCTGTGCGGGCCTTCGCGGTGAGCGGCGGGGAGAGGGCGGCGGGCGGGGGCGCCGCCTCCTGGGGTTCGGGGCCCGCCCCCGCGCCTTCCAGACGCGACTTTTCTTATCGAACCGGTACTCCGCGCGCTGGCTCATATTCAGACTTTAAAATGGTCGGGGTTCAGAAAGCCGGGTCCCAACCGCTTTTCCGCATTTTTACCGTCTGTTAGGCTCGATGGTAACTGGTTGACTGGAGCCAGCTCGGCGGTGGTCCCCAAACTAGTTTCTAGACCTGCAGACTTTATTTTTCTTTTCCACTTTTTCCCCCTCTTCTCTCATAACATAAGTTCACCGAAAGCAAAAATGGCCTTATGTCTTTTTAACAGATGAGAGTCTTTCATTCCTGTGTGGAATGGAAGCTAAATGATTTGAATTGACATACTGTTTTATTTAAAATGCAATGTTTCTTCTCATTTTTCTTAGTTTTTAGAAATCAGCTACCCAGGAAAAATGACTTTTACTCCCATGAGCCGCCTTCTGAGGATCCTCCCCCCGAGACGGGAGAGTCCGTGCGCCTCCAGCTCCAGTCCGGGGCTCAGCTCTGCAGGGTGTGCGGCTGTCTAGGCCCCAAGACGTGCTCGCGATGTCGCCAGGCGCATTACTGCAGTAAGGACCACCAGGCTGTGGACTGGAGATGCGGGCATAAGCAGGCGTGTAGACAGGCAGGTGAGTCCATCTTCTGTTTAAATTCCAGCTCAGCTGCAGAGCATCTACCAACTGAGATTTTTATTTTGCCCAGAAAAGTTAAAATTAGAAAAGCTATGATACTTCTCAGAAGTTCGGTAGGACACCACCTTTATGAAGGAAGAGCTGTGTGCCGTGGCCAGTGTGGCTTAGTTGGTCTTGTGGTGCAGGAAGGGTCTCCCTTGGATTCCCAGTCAGGGCACGTCCTGCGGTTGCAGCTTGATCCCCAGTAGGAAGAGCTGTGAGATTGTGCCCACTTAGGTCTCATAGGAGCAGCATTTAATGGTCTGCAACCTAAAGTGTTGGAGTTATATATATTAATTTACTAGGAGAAGCTGTTACTATATTGGAATATACTTTAGAAATATACTGGGAGACCATTCTTAAAACTAAGTGTTTGTTTTTTTTAATATATTTTATTGATTTTTTACAGAGAGGAAGGGAGAGAGATAGATAGCCAGAAACATCGATGGGAGAGAAACGTCGATCAGCTGCCTCCTGCACATCTCCCACCGGGGATGTGCACGCAGCCCAGGTACATGCCCTTGACCGGAATCGAACCCGGGACCCTTTAGTCCGCAGGCCGACGCTCTATCCACTGAGCCAAACCGGTTTAGGCTTAAAACTAAGTTATTACTGGTGGTACAAGTTACCTTTTTTTGTTTCAGGTAATGTGGACAATACAATTCCAGATCACAACTTCCTTTTTCCAGAATTTGAAATTGTAATAGAAACAGAAGATGAGATTACACCTGAAGTTTCAGAAAAAGAAGATGAACCGGAGATTATAGGGAGCATGGGTAAGGAGTCAGTTTCAAAACTTTATTCATTAAGTGATTGTATGCAATGCTTGAAACAGTGGGCTTAGAGTGTCCAGAAGAGAGGTGCTGACAGGAAAAGCCAGCTCACTTTGGAGGCTGCAGTACAGAACCTTCCAATATTGTCTCATCTGACGACACCCTTCTTGTTCCTCCCACCGTGACACATGTCAGGCACATTCTGGGTCCATGAGGTATGTCAGTCAGAGGAAGTGTGCAGGTGGCACTTGGGTAGGGCTGCACAGGATGCTTGGAAATTGGTAAGTTCATCTGGGTTCAAGGTCTATTCCTCAGATCAAGATGGCGTACGTGAGAGAATCTGGGGCACTTTTCTCTTTTTCTTTTTTTCATTGATTTTAAATATGGTTTCTTGATGTTGATTTTTAGAGAGAGGGGAAAGGAAAGAGAGAAACATCAGTTTATTGTTCCACTTATTTATGCATTCATTGGTTGATTCTTCTATGTGCCCTGACTGGGATGGAACCCATAGCCTTGGTGTATCAGAATGACGCTCTAACCAACTGAGCACCCGGCCAGGGCCAGCAGGCCCTTTGAAGTGAGAGGCATGTCTCATTGTCCCCACCTTGATCCTTATCTTCTCATATAAATTTAAGCAAGAGACCTCCAGTGCATTGCGAAAAGCCAATTTAATAAAGCAGTTAGAGCAGTGGTCGGCAAACTCATTAGTCAACAGAGCCAAATATCAACAGTACGATGATTGAAATTTCTTTTGAGAGCCAAATTTTTTAAACTTAAACTATATAGGTAGGTACATGGTTATTAACTTAGGGTACTCCTAAGCTGGCCTTTGTTAAAAACGTCCTCAATCTGATTGAGGCACGTTCGCTGAGGTCGACCCCTTCCAACTCTCCCATCCACACTCATCTTGTATACAGTGGGGCCTTTACTTACCAGTGTCCTGACTAAGGAGTCTTTTGAGATACCAGCTGTCTCTCAGCTGATTTTTTGCTTTGAGTTGACAGAGTAATTTGAGTTAACGAGCTCCTTAACGAGCTGGGTCTCAGAACGAATTAAACTCGTAAGTCAAGGCCCCACTGTAGTTGTTCATCTATCTCCTTTCAGAAAACCGACTTCTGCGCATGGGCCACGAAGTTTCAGTCGCGTTGTACGTGCGCACCCGCACGTGGTTATTTTGTGGAAGAGCCACACTCAAGGGGCCAAAGAGCTGCATGTGGCCCGCGAGCCACGGTTTGCTGACCACTGAGTTAGAGCATGCACCTTTGGTGAGAAAGCAAAGCAAGCAAACTTGTGCATGTGGCTTAGGAAGCGCTGACAGACTCTCGGCTAATCTGCAGAACCAGTTGGGTGGGGGTCTGTGGCATTATATACTCTCCTGTCTGTAGGTTTCAAAATTACTCTGCTGGATATTTTGGTGCAGATTAATTCTCAAGGTCCCTGTTTACTTTGTTGTGTCCTTCCCAGAATTCATGAGAAGCACCTGGCAACTTTACCTTGCCAAGCCTGAGACTGCTGGCTTCTCTGCTTAGGAAGTAAAACGCCCCTTTTTTCCTTTCCCCTCCCCCTCCCTTTCTGCGTTCTCTCTTTAGGGAGGTTTTTAACCACTTGCTCTCAGTCCTTGGCTGGGGAAGATAATGGCTTATTAGTTACATGCTAACTTCAAATTGCCCACACTGTTTGGGCTTGTTTTAACTTTGCTGCCTCGGTTTCCCTAACCCTCCTGCCCTGGAACCCTGTAATATGACCAGTTTTACACACATAATTTGGTTAATTCTCTAGAGCTGATCATACTCCAGAGCCTCTGCTGATCAGATACCTGAGAGGCTGATTGGCAGCAGCATTTATTCAACACTTACTCTGCACCAAGGGCTTCTGGGCATGACCTCATGAAAATCACAATTAATTAGCAACCCCACTTTGCAGTGAGGACTTTGAGGTTCTGGGTGTAACTTGTTTGGTCATGTAACTGACACAAGTTGTTAGGTTTTAAATGGAGTTTGAGCTCACGTCTCACTCACTAGAACTCGAGCTCTTAAGAACCACCACAAAATTATATTTTAGATTAGAATGTTGACTTACTGGTCTATAGTTCATATAAGGACATCAGAAATATATAGTAATACTTGTCACAAAGATTAACTGCTGTTGGGGACAGCAGTGATGCAGGTGGCTGGGGTCCTAGGAGCTAAGAGTGCAGAGGAACAAGCTGGCAGGACAGCTGAGCAAGTGGGACAGCTGGGAAGAGAAGTGTGAGGTTTGAAGTAAGAGTCCAGGTGGCATAAGGGTGATAGTGATAAGAAGTGCTCATGGCCCAGCCTGGGTGGCTCCCTGTTGAGCATTGTCCCATGAGTCAAGATGTCCTCAGTTTGATTCCCAGTCAAGGCACATGACCCGGTTGTGACTCGATCCCCAGCCAATGGACGTTTTTCAACTATATTTCCATCTCCCTCTCCCTTCTCTCTCTAAAATCAACAAAACCGTTTTTTTAAAAAAGAAGGCCTCACATTTTTTGAGTGTCCTAATGTGTACTGGTCACAGCGTCCTGAGCCCAGGACTTGGGTCTGTTCTTTTAAATTTGAAACTTTACTGAAAAGAAGTCGTCACCAGGAACCTGGGTAGTGAATAGTGCTTCATGGAGCACCTGGAAATTCAGGTGGTCATGCAGAGCCAACCTGAAAGAACTTAAATAGGGAAAGCCCTTGGGAACATCTGGCCCTCGCTGTCTGATTCATTCAACACTTAGTTGGTTGTTTGAAACTGGCTGCCCTCAAGTGGTGTGAATTGTTGAGTCCTGGGGATGATTCCTGTTGCCATAATGGTTGTGTGGATGGTTTTTAGGTGAAGCACCTGCAGAAGAATTGGAATCCATGGCAAAACATGAATCCAGGGAAGATAAGATTTTCCAGGAGTTTAAAAATAAAATAGCCCTGGAACCAGAACAGGTAAAGTAGAGCTCGCATGGTTCCCTCTTGTGTTCTTTTAGGGATTTATTTTAGGGGTGTTATCCTTAGAAGCTCTCTCGTCACAGCAGCCCTTCACACAAAGGGAAGGTGTTTTTCCTGTTATGATCCTTTTAGCAGTTACTGAGAGAACAAAAGTTACACTATCATATAGGATGTGTTTTATTTTTCTTCCCTTTTTTTGGCATTGGGAGAGCGACTATATTATCCGCTCCAAGTCTTCTAGCATACACTGTGCAGTTGGATCATTGCACATACTGTCAGTGTAAACAAATGTAGTTGCCTGTATTGGAAGAACCTGGTACACAACGCATGTAACTGCCGGCTTACCCAGCACCCTCACCCCCCTCATAACGTGTGAGTGAGCATCTATGATCCCCAAGGCCTCCCCAGCAGCAGCGGGCCAGTGGCACATCTGCTGGCTGAGCACATGGGACTGCTTTCACCCCAGCATCCGGCATAAATGACTAGCAGCCCGCACTCTGCTGCACTGAGGGCACTTCTCAGGCCGCGACGGCCCTCACAGCAGCACAAGGCACATCTTTCTGTTGTGAAGTGAGTCAGGCCCTGGCTCTGCACTCTGCAGGTCAGAGGCCAGCACCCGGGCTGGTCCAGCAGGAGCCCCATCTCTCCTGAGGTGACCGTGTTCACAGCTGCAGTCCATCCCACTGACCAGCCTGCCCAAGCTGGGTGCACGCCCTTCCTGGCCCCTGGATCAGACTTTAACCAGGTGGTTCTTGCCATGAGCACGTGGCCTGGTCTTGTCTGGCTGCTGCAACAGCACTGAGTTCACACCTGATGGGCTCCAGGTCACCCAGCAGCCCAGCACAGGCGCCAAGTGTCAGGCTGTCAACCATCCAGATGCCCAAGGCCAGGATGGTGGGTGTAGGCAAATCTCTCTCCTCTCTGCCACCTAATGACATAGAAGAGACATGGCAGCCACACCTGCAACACCTCTAGGGGCAGTGAAGGATGTATTTTCTAAAAACATTAGGGATAGGAATGTGTAATATGGCTTGAAAAAAACAAAAAGACATGGTAACACAGATACTGGTTTTGTAAAAAGAATCCTGGATCCTGGAGTTACATCATGAGCTTATGTAATCACAACTGTGGTGTGAAACAAAGTGGGAGATTGCTCAGCACGCTTCCCTTGCTCATTTCTGTTCTGCCCCTTCACTCCCTGGCCGTGAACAGCAGTCACGAGAGAAAACTTCCATAAGCCAGTCACTGGATCACATCAGTATCCAGGAGCTCCTAGGAAGAGTTGATCTAGGTTGAAACACTGACAAGATGGTGTTCAGCACTGTGTGCTTTAAACAAAATAAAGGAAAACCATTCCATTGTTACATAATATCTTAAGAAATGTGCCTCTCCAAGTGGCATTTACTGAAACACTTTGTTTCACTTGGTATTTGTCCCTTTAAAAATGAAGGTTCCTGATACCTGTGTGAAGGAAAGCACAGACGCTGCATGTTCGAGTCAGAATGGGGGAATAGGCTTATTGTCGGTCCCTTCACAGAACACAAGATTCAGATTCAATTTTTTTTTTTTTAAATATATTTTATTGATTTTTTACAGAGAGGAAGGGAGAGAGATAGAGAGTTAGAAACATCGATGAGAGAGAAACATCGATCAGCTGCCTCCTGCACATCTCCCACTGGGGATGTGCCCGCAACCCACGTACATGCCCTTGACCGGAATCGAACCTGGGACCCTTCAGTCCGCAGGCCGACGCTCTATCCACTGAGCCAAACCGGTTTCGGCTCAGATTCAATTTTGATATCCTGAATTGGAGAGGCTAAAATCATTGCTTTGATAACATTGGAGAGGAATTAACTTTGAGAATATGTGGGGTAGGGGCGGGGAAACTCTTAGGTAAGATGTGGGTGATCGGAATGTGATCCTAATTGATTTCAGATTCTCAGGTATGGCAGAGGGCTTGCCCCCATCTGGATCTCTGGTGAAAATGTCCCCCAAGAGGAGGATATTCCAGACTGCCCCTGTGGAGCCAAGAGAATATTTGAATTCCAGGTATGATCTTAAATACGAATTATTTCACTAGGTCATTACCCTGCTTTATGTTTTTAAAACATTACAAAACTACCAATGCAACGTATGCACAGGGTCTGAATGGTATTACAGAAATTGCCCTACCATGAAAATCATGTTTCCTGCCCCACCTCCGGGCTTAAAACTCTGTCTTACTGCTTTATTTGGTAGTTTTTCCATCTCTAAGTAACATGACTTTCCTGTCATTTATAATTTTACTAATTTCCAGATATCGGTGTGCTTCTACAATGATGAGGGTTTACATGTGTTTGCTTTTACCCTCTGGACCAGCCCCCACCTCCCAGTATAAATACAGCATTATTTTCAGAGCCTCTCTTGTTCTCTTTGTAATTTTAAATAATACATCTTCCACTGATCAGGGTATGACTACTTTGTGAGAGGAGTGTTTCAGAACTTGCTCTATTTAATGTGGATTTGTGGATTTGTTAGGAAAACAAATGCATGTATCATTACGGTACATTAAGTACCATTAAGGTAAGTGTTTTTTCAAAAGAGATTGTTAGCATCAGAATCATCTTGGGGTTGGGTGGAAATCAATCCTCTAACAGTGGATTCAGTAACCTTACAGAGTGGTAGGTAATACTTGTTCCTTAGGGTAGAAAGAGAATTCTGAGGACTGCATCCAACACTGGTTGGTTCTTAGTCACAAAGCTCTTGATGCCGAGATGAGCTGCCAGTGTGTGTGTGAAGCAATTTCCTACTGGTGGGGCAGACCTTCACTCTTCCATCCAACTGCTGGCCTCCTGAGCAGACATCAACGGATTTCCTTTTTGTATTCATTAACCTAGTGTTCCTTCAGTCATTGCACCAGCACCTGCTGTTCAAATGACAGAAAGAAAAAGTTTCCCGGATAGAAGCCTGTCCTATTTTATGGCACATTATTAATAAAATTAATTAGATAACCAGCCAAGCCAAATGGATCGGCCAGTCTTATATTTGGGAACTTCTTTCTCAAATGGAAGTGAAAGATGCCAAATGAAACAGGTTCTGAGGACAGAGCTGCAAAATATTTTTATATTGTTCAGTCCATACATTGCATAATGTCTATAATTCTGTGTAGCGTGGAAACTTGACAGCTCAGGATCAGCCTGGCAGGGAAGGTCTGCTGAAGGCAAACGGCGCTCCTCGCCTGAGCAGGTCTCTGTGTTGTCTTCTCAGGTCATGCCTCAGCTGCTCAACTACCTAAAGGCCGACAGGCTGGGCAAGAGTGTTGATTGGGGTGTCCTGGCCGTCTACACCTGTGCTGAGAGCTGCAGCCGGGCCACTGGCTACACAGAAGAATTTGTTTGGAAGCAAGATGTAACAGATACACCTTAAAGAGAACCTCAAATAGCCTTAAAAGTGCTCATAACCTCTTAGACCTTGCAATTCCATTTTTAGGATGTTATCCTAACGGAATAATTGTACCAGAGAGAGGGGCACAAAGATGTTTTAGGCCTTATTTACAATCTATAATAACAGAAGTGTAATATGCTAATTAGACTAACCAGACAGCTGAACTACCTTCCAGATGTCCTTCTGGACAAAGCCATGGGGGCTGAGGCAGTTCGGGGCGATCAGGCAGACAGGCTAACATTTAGGAGCCAGCGGTCCTGAATTGTGAGAGGGATGTCCAACTGCTGGTTTAGGCCCGATCCTGCGGGGTTGGGCCTAAACTAGCAGTTGGACATCCCCCGAAGGGTCCCAGATTGCGAGAGGGTGCAGGCCAGGCTGAGAGACCACCCCTCCCCCCCCACGCACTCTAGTGTCTAAATATTAGTGAAACAAAATGCCCAGTAACAGGGAATTACATATATTTTGGTCTATCTATGCAGTTTTTGATGCAGACCTGTATGCACATCCAGTACAGTACAGATCTGAACACACACCAAGATACCATTACAGGTGGTATTCCTAGTATGATCACATATTTTTTTAAATATTTGTACATCTGTGTCTTTATTTTTCTAAGTGTTTGGTTTCATGTGTTTCACATGTGTGTGGACCTCTGATGGAATAAAACTTAAAAAGAAAATGGCTCTTTTGTGAAGAGTAAAAAGAGACGATCTATAGAAGGATCTGCAAAGTGGGCTGTGTCCTGAGCTGGCTCAACTCTTCCTTGTCACCACCTGCCATCCCCCGTGCTCGCCCCCAACCACCATCCGCCCTTTCTCATGTACAAATACATCACACACCTCAGTAGCCTCTAGAAATGTCAAAACATTTTATGGCTCCTGTAGAGGACGTCCATCACTGCTGCCAATCCAGACTCTGCCCCACCAGACAGCCCATGTTGGGGAGCAGCCCACTGGCTCTGGCCTTACCAATTCAGAAAGCACAGCAAAAAATATACTGTAACGCTTCCAATAATCGTTTGTGGTAGTGTGTAAAACTGTTGTGTGTGTGTAATGTGAAATGACTGGGATATTTTAACTCATCCCATGTGTTTTTAAATATTAAGAATTTTCAGTGTAGAGGATAATAAACCAATGAATATGAGGAGAAGGGAAATGATTAGAATTTCATCATCTGCAACCCCCTAACAAATAATGAGAAGAGAGACAACCACATACTTGATTGCTAACAGAAGAACACGCACTCAGCCTTAATGAAAGGGTCCAGCATCTGGATGCAGCCCCACATGCAGGAGCTGAGACGGGACACGGAACCACAGCACGAATTAGCAAATGGCCCACCACATGGAGGATCCACCAGCCAAATGGCCTGAAATGTTAAGGAAAAGAGGTGGAGAGAAGACTTGAGGAATAAAACAGATGTGCTGGGACAGGGTCAGGGTGAGTCACAGGCAACAACGTCTCTGGGAAAAAGGAAAAAGGAGAACTCGGTGCATGACCATGATAGACGTGTTTGATGGGTAACAAGCCTCCGGGCAGTTCTTCCATTCCCATTGCAGCAGACAATGACATGTTGATTGAAACAACAAGAACACACACAATGAAGCGGTTTCAGGCATTATATCTAAAATATAGCCTTTTTAACAGAATCACATAAATCTTACAAGGCATCATTTATAACATCAACCTAACACTTTTATAAACAGCATTTATTGTACAGAGTACTGAGGAGAGAAATATTTACAGCCATCTGTGTTCATTAATACATCTGTCCTGCAATACTGAGAGGGCGGAATGTGTCTGGCACAAAAATAAACCCTAGGATTACAAATTAGAAAAACAACACTTGTAAAAAACATTTTTACTTTTCTGGTAGAAATATAAAAACTGTGGTTTATGGGGAATAAAGCAAACAAAATTAAAAGTCCAGTCAATTGTAGAAGTGGCTTTAACACCAACGTTTTGTCCCTTAAACCAACTTGTCAACAGCAGTAAGAGTTTAAAATCTAAATCTAAATAGACAGGCAGCACTACAGTAACACCTGGTGTGTGCCCAGGCGTACATGCAGGCTGCAACCCACGCGGACCCAGGCCACCCACACCACCACCACTTAAATGTACCAAAACGGATGTGTTTTTACAAGTGGGTGGGAGGGCAGGCCAGCCATTACGTTGTCTTCCTGAAGCCCTTGAGGATGGGGTAGATGTTTTCAAAGGCTTCATAAATTTCTGCTCTGACTTTAGCACCTATGAAGACAAGTAGGGTAGTGATGAGAGTCTAAAATGGCATTTCTTAACCTATTGAGAGGCAAAATTATGATTTTAAAACCGCTAGCACAAATCTCTCCATGAGGTAGACTAGTAGACACAGGCATTAAAACATTAATGATAAAACCCCTTGTCACAATTTTGTTTTTAAACCAGTTTCCTTAAAAGGGCTTTTTAAATTACAAAAGCGATGCCCTATGTGACTCAGCCTCCCCCTCTGCAGGCATCACGGTGCTGGTCCCTGCACCAGATCAGGGCCACAGGCACAGTAACAATGGATGAACAGTATTCCCCAACTGCTGCCTCCCACCAAGCTCCTCTGAATCTCCCTTTGTCGTCTCAAAACCACATTGCTGATGAATGCAAAGGCTTTAGGACAATTTCCCACGAGAACTCCATCTCTTATCCAATGTGATGCCCATCTTGTCCCCTCCCCACAGGTCAAGCCTGGGCTGAAGGACCAGCAGGAATGGGGTCTGATTTTCCCTCCTCTCCGGTATGTTTCTTGCCAGCATGTTCGGTGGGGGGGAAAGAAAAGGCCTCTGGCCAAAACCGGTTTGGCTCAGTGGATAGAGCGTCGGCCTGCGGATTGAAAGGTCCCAGGTTCGGTTCTGGCCAAGGGCATGTACCTGGGTTGCGGGCACATCCCCAGTAGGAGGTGTGCAGGAGGCAGCTGATCGATGTTTCTCTCTCATCGATGTTTCTAACTCTCTATCTCTCTCCCTTCCTCTCTGTAAAAAATCAATAAAATATATTAAAAAAAAAAAAAAGAAAAAGAAAAAGAAAAGGCCTCTGCAAGTAGCTACCAACGAAATTACTTCTCACATGGAGAAAATGACGTTCTTTAAACTTTCAAATCTTCAGACACCACTTCTTGTTACAACTTACCTGTTAATACAACTTTTCCAGAAACAAAAATAAGAAGAACAATTCTGGGTTTGATCATTCTGTAGATTAAACCAGGAAATAACTCTGGCTCGTAACTATAAGGAAAACATAAAGAATAATTTATAAGTTAAAAGCTGCCCATGCTTTTCGATAAAATGAAAACCTTTATAAGCAAAAACACGAAAAAAAACAGCTGTAAGGAGGCCAGGCCCAGCTCCTCAAGGAGCATCAAAGGAGAGGGGGCGGAAGGCCAGGGAGGGCAACCGGTCATCTGCACTTGAGGACTAAGTCACTCTCTACTGAGTGTGGACTTTCTGGCATAACAAGAGCTTTACATAAATGTCCTAAAGTCTCTCTGACCCTTACCCAGTGTTATTCTGGACAAGTTTAGGGGTAACATTGCTTCTCAGATCTGACAGCAACGTTTTGCCTTTTAACCATTCTCATCTCATCTCCATACATTAGAATATTTTCTAGCTGTTCACCCTGGTCAGGCAGTTTAACCAAAGTGCTGGAGCAGATACTGGGTAGAGAATGAACCTTTCCCTGACTCCACCGTTTGGATGCTCTACTCACGTGTCTTATTCTAAACCTAGAAATCTCATGGCATTAGTTCAGAGACCGAAAACAGAATGTGTGCGTCACCGAGCAGAAAATTCAGGAAGGTTTCTCTGAGGAAGAGGTGCTCGGGTAAGAAATGTGAGTGGGAGTGCTCAAAGCAAAAGTGAGACTATGCCAAGTATGAAAGTGGGATGTGCAAAGGCCCTGGTACCCCAAAGGGCACAGTAAGCCTGAGGGGTGCTGCAAGCAGGGAGGCTGGGGAGGGACCATCTACCTGGTAGTTCTCAGCAGGAAGAAGCAGAAAAAATATTCATGTCCCTCAACCATGCCCTTCGCTGGTGGATCTGATAATGGTGAGTAGACCGAAGAGGCAAGGTTGATGCACAAGGTGGTGGGTTTAACTAGTTAACTGCCACGCGCCCAAAACAGAAACCATCTATACGTCTAAAGATGCTTATGGCGTACAAAGGGCTAATTCACACATTTGAAATGTAGTCACTGAGCAATATGATGATGGAACATACAGAAGGGGAATCAATTTCACCCGGTATAACAATAAAAAAGGTATAAATTGAAAAAAAAAAAATTTCACCCAGTAAAGGGGGTTTTCATGTTACCACATGAAGTGGGAAGGCCAGCGAGACCCAGAGATGTCACTCCAGCCATCGGGAGAAACCTCCACAGTAAACACAGTGGGAGCTACAGACAATTTATCATGAACTTGTAAACAGATTGCTGCCAAAAGCAATCGCCAACACCCTTCAGACTTACCTACTGAACTGTTGGTGGGTCAGCACCAGGCCTTCTAACCTTATGGGGAATTTCACATCGCAGCTCCCCACCATGTTCTGAATCTTAAAGTCCAAAAACTTGGCTGGGAAACCCAACTTCTGCACAACTCTGGCGTACTTTCTTGCTGCTAGTCGGGACTGCTCTTCACTAGGGAAAGGAAAAAGTGAGCTATTCATACTCAGAGCCAGCTAAAATAGTTATTTAAATGAGTCACTTTACAAAGTATGAACTGGTCACCCCTTCCCAATAAGAAAAGAGAAATGCAGACACAAACAAATTTAGGAAACTAGGCCTACCAAAATGATCACCTTTCCAATGCACCCCATTACTGCCAGCCCCCGGGGTTTACAGATGTGCGCATACAGTCACCATCATGACCACTGCTTTTGTGTTTTAGCTCACAAATTCCTACTGAGAGAAAATGAACAAGCTTCATTTTGATAAGAAAATACTGGTGAGGTTTGTACTTAAAGAATGCACACACTAGTTCTCCCCTATTTTATGTCCATTTCTATAACTCACCAGTTGGATAAAACTGACTCAGAACGCAGAGCTTATGTAGAACACGGAGAATGAGAGCAACGATACCATCCTAAACAAGACTCTCGGGTACAGGGTCAGGAATGACAAAAAGTAACAGTACACACAGTGCCTTTTTTTTCTTTAATAATAATAAATGTATTTATGACTTCTTATCTTGAGAAAAGTCACCCACACAGATACCCACTGCTCCTTGTGAGGTACAAGACAGCGTGCCTGCGGTGAAAGCAACACATGGAGCATCCACTGGAAAACCCCACGTTCCCCAGCCGCGTCCCAAGTAAAACAAGCTGGTAAAGACGCCAAAATGAAGAGGGACGTGGAGCCAGGGCAGACCCCATGTCTCGCCTTCGAAAACACTTTGAGACCAGAGCCAGAATGTCCACACCCATGGCTTCCTTAAAAGACGACTTTCAAGTTCAGAATTAGCAAAAGCTCCACAGCCCCTCTCTACATTAACACCTGCAAGTGCATCAATCACCTTTTATTTTTGGAGTTTATTTACTTCACTTCTGTTTAATCCCCCTCCTTGTGTCTCCTACCAAGTCTGTGGGCTGTTAGGCTTAGACTAGTCAAGGCCTTCGCAGAGGGGCTCACTGCACACTGAGGCAGAGCACAGGCAACAGCATCTGACACGAAGGCGCACAACTCAGACTGTCAGAATCAACACCATTCCCCACGAGGGCAGCGGCACCTGTCACCACGTCACTGCCAGAGCCAAGGGGGTCTGCGGCTCTCTCCTCATCCCTAGGCAGATTTTTCCCCCTTGGGCATGAATTTGTGTTATATATAAAATTTTTTACATAAAGGAATCCTTAATAGTTGTGATGTAATATTTTACCAAAAACACATAAAATGCAACTGAATTGTAGGGAAATAAGCAATGGTAACATATGTCCAAAAGTCTTGCCTAAGTTTTATTTTTTTATGGATTTTTAAAAGTTGATTTTTAGAGAGGTAGGAAGGGAAAGGGAGAGTGAAACATCAATGTGAGAGAGAAACACTGATGAGTTGCCTCCTGTACACGCCCCAACCGGGGATCGAACTCGCAGTCCAGGTATGTGCTCTGACCAGGAACAGAACCTGCCACCTTTCCGTGTACGAGATGACACTCCAACCAGCTGAGCCAACCAGCCAGGGCCAGGCCTAACTTTAAAAAAATGAAATTACTGCCAACTAGAGTGATTAGAGCCAACCACTGCAGTAAGAAAGCAACAACAGCATTTGATTAAAGCATCAGCCTACCACCGAGACCACACAAAACACAGACAGATGGCCTCTCTGCACCTACCTCTTAGCACCCGTGCACACCATTTTCCCGGAACTGAAGATCAGGGCTGTGGTCCGGGGCTCCCTTATTCTCATGATGACCGCAGCAAACCGCTGGAATGGTGAAGAGTCATTAACATGAGGAAAACTAGACAATGACAGCTAAGAAGTCCTTGTGCACAGCCACCATAGCATCCGCACGCGCCCCCAGGCAGGACCTCCCATCACCAAGCAGGGCACAAGCTTTCGCACAGGAAGCAGAACTGTGACGACTGAGTTGAACCACAACCTGTATATTCTTTCCTACATTCCTGTAAGATAGGGAGTACTTGCAAATTTATTTATTTATTTATTTATTTATTTATTTATTTATTTATTTATTATTGAGAGAGGAAGGGAGAGGGAAGGAGGGAGGAAAGGAGGAGAGGGAGAGGGAGAGAAACATTGATGTGACAGAGAAACACTGGTCTGCCTCCCATACGACCAAACCTACAATCCGGGCATGGGGCCTGACCGAGAATCGAGCCAGGGACCTTCCAATGCCTGGGACAAGCCTAACCAATTGAGCCACACAGGCCAGGGCTCAATTTTTTTTTTTCTTTAATTACACGAGGGCCTCTACTTCTACCTTGTATTTGCTGCTTCCCACGACTAGCTTCTGTAACTATAAACTTTGCTTGAAAAACCTTCACCTCCAGAAGGAATTAATAAGGCAGAACACAAGCACATCAACGCCTGTGGAAGTGACCTCCTATTCCCAGTTGGCTTTCAGAAGCAGCATTCCTTTATTACCATGGCACAACGTTTTGATCCAGGGATCTTGAGAAGTAAATTCCTGTACTACAGTTTGAAATATATTAAAATTGCTCTGACCTTGGGATTATATTCAGCATTTCGGGCACGAAGTGCAATGGTCTTCAGGTCAAGCTTACAACCCAGATTCACTGTGGATACAATATTTCTGCAAAAAAATTGAAAAGAAAACATGATTTATTCATTTAAATTTTACAGGATGAGGTGTTAGATTATCTAGAAACCTGATTGTTTCATTCGAACTAATTTGATCTCATTAAATTTAAACTTAATTTCAATTTTAATAAGTTATTGACATTTTTAGGTGTTTAAAAAGTAACACATCCCATGGCGAGCATTTCACATATACTGAGGCTTAAGCGGGGTAACCTGCCCAGGAGACACGTGGCTCCTCAGCGCAGAGTTGGGAACCATCTATCCAGAGCCCTAGCCTTTCACCGGTACCAACGCACCTCATCTCTGAGCTCTGAAACACCACCACTGCTAACCCCAAGACCGCTCCTTACAAAGAAAATGGGCAGGCATGACTTTCTCAGTCCTCTCAAAATAAGTATCCTTTGGAAGAACAATAACTCAGAACAAATGAAAAAAACCTGTTTTATTCTGCTTAACTCTCAGTAAATCAAGAAAAACAGACAACCATGTATTATCTATGCCCAAGACCCCCATTTTTAGTATTCTTGTATCATTTTATGAATAACTTACAAAAGAAAAAATATACTACAGCGAAAAACAACTTTATTACAAATTTTAATAAAAATTTAAACAGAGCCAAGCTACATTTTTACTCTATAGTTCCCTGGTCTTGAAAGTGTAGACTTGCTATGCGCCGTGCCCCCAGAATAAAACTATTGTGCATGGACCCGGCATCACTGTCCTGTGCACAGTGCACCCAGCCTGCAGACGCACCTCCCGTGGGTGCCAGTGCACAGCTGTAAGGCACTCAGCAATGTTTTCACCTCCACATCACCCATTTCCTTCCAATCAACTTCAATACACGCTTGCCTGCAACACCTGTCCATGTATGAACTCAGTCAAGTACATTTTGGTGCATCTATCACACACTTAGTCATATAACAGTTAAATGTATTCTTTTTTTTTTAATCCTCATCTGAGATATGTTTTTCATTGATTCTAGAGAGAGTAGAAGGGAGAGGGAGAGGGAGATGGTTGCCTCACTCATGCACCTCAAGCAGGGATCGAACCTGCAACCTGGGTATGTGCCCTGACCAGGAATAGAAACTGCGACCCTAGGGTGCATAGGACAATGCTCTAACCACTGAGAAACACCAGCTAGGGGCTTAAATGTATTCTTTTTTCTCATTTTGAAATTGTCTTGAAAAGCACATAACATAAAATTTAGCACCTTCACCAGTTTTAGTGCACCGCTCAGTGGTGTCCAATGCATTCAGTGTTGTGCGGCCGCCGTCCACCCATCTCTGTACCAGTTAGATACTTCCTCCTCCCCATTGTGTGAATATATTGTATGCCCCCCCCACCACCACCACCCCACCCCGAATCCTGTTACATATAGAACCCACTGCCTTTAGGTAGAAAAGTCCATTCAGGGCAAAAACAGCCATCGTCAGCTTGTGTGAAAACAGCCATCCACAGCTCTTCAAAGATGTATATGCAGCCCTCATAATAACCGATAAAAAACAAGGACCACTATGAACCATACTAATTCTATGACTAAGTAACTAACCGTACCAAAGACAGACAGCATGCCAAGGGAAGTAGCTATCTGGCCTGACTGAGCAAACCAGCTACAGGGAAATGTCTACAACAAGAAAACACACATGGGATTCTGCTGGTCCAAGAGCACAGGCACAAGCTGCCAACTTCTAAAGCTGGGAGAGCTTCTCACTGAGGGCGACTCACTAGGACAGCTTTGCTTCCCTCTCAAGTGAGACAGAAACTGTGATCCAGTCCCTGTAAGATCCATGGATGCCTCTGAAAACAAAGAGCAGTGGCAGGCTACAAGGGATCCTCCCAGGCAGCAAGAGGACACAAGTACTCACTGCAGCTGTGGCACAATCCCCGAGCTCTCAGAGGCTGGCGTGGCAGGCGTGATGGGGGTCATGGGGGTCATGGGCGAGGGGTACAGGGGTGTGGTGCCCGGCAAGGGTGCAGTGGTAAGAGTCTGTGAGTGGAAGAGCTGTGGTGTCTGTCCTGAGGCCCCCTGAGGAGCCTGCTGGGACGCTGACTGCTGCACTGCGGCTGTCACTGTCGTCACTGCTGCCTGCTGCTGCTGCTGCTGCTGCTGCTGCTGCTGCTGCTGCTGCTGCTGCTGCTGCCGTTGCTGCTCCTCCAGAATGGACAGACTGTTGGTGTTCTGAATGGGCTGTGGAGTCAGCCCTGTGCCATACGGCATCATCGGACTGAAGATAGGGATTCCAGGAGTCATGGCGCCCTGTGGAAAGTCAGAACGGTGGGTTAGACTGGTTGGTGCTGCCTGGTGAGAGAACAGATGAGATGTGTAAAGACAGACCCCTTCTGGTGTAAATGCAGTTATTGAACATTAATAGGGAGGAACTTGCTGTTCTTTCACGCATCACTTTCTTCAATTGCCATAATATAGTAGGTAGGAGCTTAGGTGTGAAAGCCAAATCTGCTACTTATTACACGTGAGAACCTGAGGAGGTTGCTTAACCCTTCAGGCCTACCTAGGGGACAGTGATGCCCTGAGATTGTTAGAAAGAATCAGGGAGACCACTGGGGTGACCCACATCCTTGTTTAAACCATTATCCTGCATACCGTCTAGGTAGCACCCCATTTCCAGCTTGGATAAATTACATGGTTACCCTAGAGAAATCCACTTACAGCGTCCAGCAGGATGATAGGCACATTGAAAACACTGAGTGCTGGCGATGGTCATGATGATTATTCTAACACTATTAAAAAAGGTTAATCACTGCTCTCAAAGGTTAAATCAACAAAACCCAATGCATCTATCAGAATATCAATTTACTTTTCTACATTGCTTCTCAACGTTCCCAGACATCATGGCATTTATTAATCGCCCCGAGTCTTACCTACAGCTCTCTGGGAAGGGAAACACACGCTCTTCTTTTTTCATTAAAGAAGGAAACCGGAAACCGAGTCTAAGAACAGGTACATGAGTTGCCCAAGACCACAGAGCTTCTTGGCAGATGAGCCAAGATCACAAGCACATTTTTCAACACCGACATCCATGGAGGCTGTGGAGCCTGCAGAGCTCATGGCGGCTGTGAACCTCCTAAAGCCGCTCCTGACAGGTCTGCATGGAGGGGTTCCGTTTCCATTAGATTTTCAAATAAGTGCAAGACCCAGGAGCCACAACCCTTTCCTGCTCTGCCACTTTATTTGGCAGAAAACATAAACTAGAAATGTGTAAGACGTTTATGTCAAACTATCTCACCAATGTGGTGGCAGAAAGAACAGGAGGAAGACAAACTACACACTGTGGCCCCAAGGACAGACATTATTCCACTGCATCTACCACTAGCTTCTATAAAAATACTGACTAGAAAAAACGCAGGTTACGTTAACTTAAAAAGACTAAGGCTCGCCGAAACCGGTTTGGCTCAGTGGATAGAGCCCCGGCCTGCGGACTGGGGGGCCCCAGGTTCGATTCCGGTCAAGGGCATGTACCTTGGTTGTGGGCACGTCCCCAGTGGGGGATGTGCAGGAGGCAGCTGATCGATGTTTCTCTCTCATCGATGTTTCTGGCTCTCTGTCTCTCTCCCTTCCTCTCTGTATAAAATATAAAAAAAAAAAAAGACTAAGGCTCAGGTTTTGAAAGGTCTGCCTTTCTTTACGCCATGTGTAACAATGAGCTAAAAACAAATAAATAAGTGACAGATATACACATAGAAACAAGAACTACACAGAAAAACACCTTATGAGTTCAGGTAGGCAGATTTCTCAGGTAAGACACAGAAGACGAACCATGAAGCAACAGTGATAAAGAGACCATAGAAAAAGGAAGAACTACTTTCCAAAAGGCACCATCAAGAAAATTAAGCCGAAACCGGTTTGGCTCAGTGGATAGAGCGTCGGCCTGCGGACTGAAGGGTCCCAGGTTCGATTCCGGTCAAGGGCATGTACCTGGGTTGCGGGCACATCCCCAGTAGGAGATGTGCAGGAGGCAGCTGATCCATGTTTCTCTCTCATCGATGTTTCTCTCTATCCCTCTCCCTTCCTCTCTGTAAAAAATCAATAAAATATATTTTTAAAAAAAGAAAATTAAAAAGTAAACCACAGACAGGGAGACAACACCTGCAGGACACATGTTTTTATAGACAAATACACATTTTTGCTGCCACAGAGGCTCCGCAAATTACACACCATCATGCCTCCTCCAAGCCTAGGAGCCCTTCTCACCAGGATGTGAAAGGCTTGAGGAACACAAATCCATCTCCAAGAGCAGACGCTCCGTTACCTGCGGGGAGGCCAGGCCCTGAGCATAGGGCGGCAGGCTGTTGTTCTGATCCATGGCGATCCCTTTCTTCTGGGCAAGTCGACAGCCTCTGCACTGGCGCTGCCTCAGCAGCTGGTCTCTCCCAGGAGCATCCCCAGCGCAACCTAACAGCAACTCCTGCAGCTCTCGGTTCTCTTCACACCAAGACGCTGCCCTGAAAAGGTGAAGGTCGATGTGAGAACACACATGAGCTCTACAATCTCATAAGCCAGTTTCGTGGTGACACACACACAAACCCCCAAATGAAGCATTTTGTCTATAAAGCTGAAAGCTCATTCCTTCCATGTTGCCTGTGACTGCATGCAAAACTGCCCGAAGGACAAACCGTTTTGTTACATGTTTAACTTAAATGCTCCTAATGTTCAAAATTAAGGTGTCATAATCAGCACTGAATTCTTTTGAGGAAAAATACCCAGAGAAAACAAATTCCCAAGCAAACTTTATGCCTGAGTTTGCTCTGTGTACATAGCCCTATTGGGCCAATTTCAGGCTCTTAAATATTCCAATCAGTTTTATACCTTCAGTGTCTTGGACACTGAATTCAATAAACATTTAATTGGATCCAATGCACTTTAGTGTGATCATATATTGACCTGCCACTTTATGAAACACTGTAGAAGCTGTCCATTTTATGTAATAACTTTACCTCTCTAGAAGACGTGGATACAAAGTGTGCCTCTCTCTGGCTTTCCTTAAATTACTACTTTTTTCTTGGCTTAATTTTTGAAGTTACTTTTAGACAAAAGAACCAAGTGGCTGCTCAGGGGCCCTGGTTCCGTTCCGTTGGGATGGGCTGTTGCCCTGGGAACCGGTTGAATCACGTGGGGTGAAGTGATGCTCACACGCGGCACCTCCTTGTCCCACAGGATAAACGTGCGGCATTATTACTAGGTATCAGGTTAAACCTTATCTAACAGGACGTTCTCACTAGCCTTGCGGGTCTTAGTTACAAGTTAAAAGTCAAAACCCACATGCGCCTCAAGCATGAGCTGCTGCAACGCACACACTGACATTTCCTGAACGGACCAGGAACCCGATGATCACTGTGAGGACAACGGGCCACACTCCTGAAAAACAGGCTACAAACGTAAAAACGAGAACCCCGCTTCAGAACGTGTCAGAGAGACACGAAAAGTTACTTTTTGGACATCGTTACCCTAAAACCACAGAAGTGCCGCATATACAAAAACGACAAGGAGAGACGGCGGCAGTACAGGAGGACCCGGCCCCGCGTCAGCCCGGCGGGGCGGCGGGGGCGGCGGCTCGAACGGAGAGCGTTCCCGCGCGGCCTGGGCGCCCATCCGCCTCCTCCCGGCCTCCAGGCCGGCCCCGCCGCAGGGTCGCCTCCGCACGGCCCTGGGAGGAGAGGAAGCCAAGCCGCTGTTACCTGGGGCCACGGCTGACGCCAACACCACCTGCGGAGGCCTCGTCTAACGGCCGGCGGCCCTGGCCCCCGCCGCGGCGACCCTGGCCGACCCTCCAGAGCTCCCGGCGCAGGTTTATAACGTCACTTCCGCCAGTCCAGCTCGGCTTCACCGCGAGGCCACGCCCAGGTGGCAGCCCTGAGAGGTGTGGGCGTGCGTCACTTCCGGCGCCTCCCGAGATAAACGGTTTGAAGGGCTTGAGGGGCGAGGCTATTCTGGAGTTCCGGGGCGGGGCCAGCTGGCTCGTGTCTTCTCATTGGTCGTTGCTGGAAGCTAACAAGAGGTGGATTTCCAAAGCAACTGTCTGCGTGACCTTTGGCCCGTTGCCTGCCTCTCCGCCTGTTTCTCCGTTTTTAAAAGCACTTTTAAGAAATTGTAAAATATATTCATGTAAGGAAATGAAAACACACGTCCAGATGAACAGGATGTTATAAATCAGGAAGCCGGGTACTGCCGGCCCTTCCTGCTCTGTGCTGTTACGTAGCGTGTCCCGACAGAAGACCCTTCCTTAGCGGACATCGGTTAACCGTCGTTGCTGTGACATCTGCCTGCGTTTGTGGACATTTGCTCACTTCCAGTTTGGGGCTATTGGGAACAATGCTATCTGAACATTCTTGCACATGCCTTCTGGCGGAGTGCACACCGGGGAGCTTAACTGCTGGGGCCTCAGGTGTGCTTCTCTCCAACGATGCCAGGTGATGCCAGTCGCTTTCCAAATACGGCCGCACCAACATGCACTCCGGTAGACGATTGGACTTTGCGATGCGCGATAGTGTTGACAATTATTTTTGTATGGTCAGACTTTAAAATTCCTGTACATCAAGAGGGAATTCGGATGTTTTCTTAAGGAAGAAAACCCTAACACCTCTGTCAGCTTTCTTTAAGTGGGGGGCCCGGCGGCCACGCGGACCTCTGGGAGCCGGGCACCTGAACGCGCCCGGGCGACCGGAGGGAGCGCCGCGGGGCAGCCGGAAGTGGCGCGACTTCCGACTTCCGGCTGGGTGGCCATCTCGCGGTGAGACAGCAGGAGCGAGTGCCGGCGATGATGTCCTCCGCAGTCGTGTCTTGGGGTCCCGGCCGAGAGCTGGCGATGGAGCCGCGCGGCGCCGGCCCCGTGCAGCTGCGCTTCTCGCCCTACGCGTTCAACGGAGGGTGAGGCCCCGCAGTCGCTCCCCCTCCCGGGCCCTGCTCACGCCCTCGGGTGTACGGCGGGCCTCCGTCTCTGGGTGGCTTGTCCTCTCGGCCCATCGCTTGGGCGTCGGTGCGGACGGCCGGTGGGCAGTGAGGCCGCAGGTGGGCACGGAAGCCCGGCCTCCGCTGCGGGGGAGCTTTCCGGAGGGACCCGGCGGCAGCGACGGGCAGGTGTAGCGTCTGAGGTGGATCAGTCCGCGTTGGTAGATGCATGGTTGTGTCTGTAGCTAAGAGGGTTGATCAAACAATTAATTCAGACAGAAGAGGTGAGATCAGGAAAGGCTACAAGTAATCTGGAAAAATACCAAGAGTTCCCTAAAACACAGCCTACCTCACAGCAAAGGGTCCGTAGTGGGGAGGTAAAAGAAGAGCTACAGAATTATCATCATTAAAAATTAAATACTTGCCCTCCTGGTGTGGCTTGGTGGTTGAACACCAACTTATGAACCAGGAGGTCACTCTTCTGTTATTTTAGGTAGAAAGTAGGATTAGTTGGCCGGGCTTCGTTTCATAGTTACGTGCTTGTTTTTTAAGATTTAGCCTAAGTTCGGGGGAGAATACTCAGAAGAGGGTCTTTAAAAATGTTATCTTGCATGTTACATTTAAGTTGTCCTTTTTAAAATAAGAATACCAGCTTTACGTTACGTGGTGCTATTCCTTGATACACACTAAAAGAACGAGGGTTGTAGGGAGATGCCCCATTAAGGACTCTTGGCAGCTGTAATTTGAGGCAGTGGTTGCAGTTTACCGACTGAACTACCTACAGCGAACACACCGATGGGAAGACGGCCAGGCTGTTTGAACAGGTCTTGTGGATTTGAAGGTCTCATGCATGTTTTGCGGATGTGTTGGAAGGAGAGCGGAAGTTTTGATTTTAGCCTTGTGCCTACCACTAAAGGGCAATGCAGCCTCTCCACTTTTTTAACACAGCTTCTTAGAGTTTGGAGGAGAATCAAGCATTTTGTAAATTGCCAGCCGTTACATTTTTTTCATCCTCATGCTGCCCTGAGTGTTAGATGGTATTAGCCCCGTTTTTACAATGAACCAGGAGCTCCAGCCACAACGCTGGTGTGAGGTTGAGCGAGGACTTGAATCCATATCTCTGTGTCCACTGAGTTTATGCTTTACTCTTTCACTTCTAACACTTTTGGAGACAACTGATGGAGTAGTTTAGGTCATCAGGTAGCGGCTATTCGACCCATTTCATAAGGCAGTTGTGAATTCTTTGTAAGACTGTGCAAGGTGTTGAATATTCAGTATCCGTTACTCTCTTTTTAGCCCATTGTAATCCAATTTAAGCCCTATGAATTTCTGATTATTAAATTGAGTTACCTTTTCTCAGTGTTATTTTTTGTAAAAAAATTTTTTAATTGATTTCAGAGAGGAAGGGAGGGGGAGAGAGGGTTAGAAACATCAGTGATGAGAGAATCATTGACTGGCTGCCCCCTGCACACCCTACACTGGGGTTTGAGCCACAACCCGGGCCTGTGCCCTGACCAGGACTCAAACCGTGACCTCCTGGTTCATAAGTTGGTGTTCAACCACCAAGCCACACCAGGAGGGCAAGTATTTAATTTTTAATAATGATGATAATTCTGTAGCTCTTCTTTTACCTCCCACTACGGACCCTTTGCTGTGAGGTAGGCTGTGTTTTAGGGAACGCTTGGTATTTTTCCAGATTACTATAGCCTTTCCTGATCTCGCCTCTTCTGTCTGAACCCTGCTCTTGCTAGCACCCAGTGGTTTTCTCCCGGTGCAGGCACACCTCGTGTTGTGTTTCCTGTGCTCACAGATGATGCATTCTTTACAAGTGGTTAGCATTTTTTAGCAATAACATTTTTAAATTAAGGTATGTACATTTTTAAAATACATAATGGTATTGCACACTGATTTCAGTGTAGTATAAACATAACTTTTCTATGCTCAGAGAACCCAAAATCTGACTCGCTCTGTTGTGATACTCGCTTTATTGCAGTGGTCAGAACTGGACCCGCGCCCTTCTGTTGGGTCAGGCTTGTTTACCATCCAGGAGGACTCATTAATTTTTTTCCCCTTCTTTTCCCTCAGTACTGTATTGGCTATTGCTGGAGAAGATTTTTCAATTGTTGCTTCTGATACTCGACTGAGTGAAGGGTTTTCAATCCACACCCGGGACAGTCCCAAATGTTACAAATTGTAAGTAAATTTCTAATTCCACATTTCCCAGCACCTTGTGGTAACAACAATGCTACAGAGATTTAACTTCTAAACAGTGTGTTGCATGAGTTCTTAGACTGCCTGTGTTAGAAAACAATTTTATAAATTAGTATTTCCTGATAATTTACTATGTAGTGTTCATGGTATCTGCCATATGTGGATACCAACAGTGCCTTTCATAAACTCAGTATTTTCATCTCAACATTTTGTCATGAAAAATTTCAAATATACAACAGAAGTAAAATGTTGTGGTGAAAATCCATATATTGCCACCTAGATCTTATTAGCATTTTACATAATTATCGTATTTTCTCATCCTTGTATCCATGAATCCATTAATTTTTTTTTTTTAATCTGCCCATTTTTTTTAACCTGAAACATTCAATTTAGCCGTGTCCTAAGCAGTTGCACCCATGGCTCACAGTGTTAGTAGATCCATTTTTCCTAAAATACAAAAATAAAGTCATGTACAGAAAGAAAAAAAGGGTTTGTATAAGTCAGCCAAATGCATCTTGCAGGTTGGCAGTGGTTTGTAACTAACATTTTTGGCGACAGTTGTACATGGTGGTTAATTCCCAGGTTTCACCTGAATTGTAACAGGAAAGGACTGAGGAGGTTTGTCCCGTGTGTGCAGGAGGCGGTAAAGAAGGGAGGTCTGTCCTTCCTGCTCAGGGTAGACTGACACATATTACCCCCGAGAACTGAAGTTTGTCTTCATCGTCCCAGTTCCCCTTTTATATATATATATATATATATATATATATATATATATATATATATATATATATTATATTTTATTGATTTTTTACAGAGAGGAAGGGAGAGGGATAGAGAATTAGAAACATCGATGAGAGAGAAACATCGATCAGCTGCCTCCTGCACACCCCCCACTAGGGATGTGCCTGCAACCAAAGTACATCCCCTTGACTGGAATCTAACCCAGGACCCTCAGTCCACAGGCCGATGCTCTATCCACTGAGCCAAACCAGTCAGGGCTCAGTTCCCTTTTGACCACTTCTCCATCTTTGATGCCTCGTTCTTCTCTCCGGTTTATAGTGCACCCATGCTACCTTGCTTCTTCTAAGATGTAATTTTTATAATTTGAAAGTAGTGAATTATATAAATATAACTTTATTGATATCATCTTTGTGTAGTCTTCTCTTTTTTATAATGTTCTACTTTATCTTATTATTATTATTTTTAGTTGAGAGAGAGAGAAAAAAAGATCAGTGTAAGAGAAATATCTATCGACTGTCCCCCCTACCCCACCTCTATGCTCCCCGACTGGGGATCAAACCCCAACGTGGGTATGTGCCTTGACTGGGAATTGAACCTGCTGCCTTCTGGTGTACGGGATGATGCTCAAACTAACTGAGCGACACTGGCCAGGGCTGTAACATTGTATTTTAGTGTGTATGCTGCTAAAGTGAAGACCCATTCTTTTTTATGACATACTTCAGTTCTAGGAGTAGATAGAACACGTGACAACTTCCTGTGTCCCTGTCATCCATTGTCAGCCCTAGACCATGTGTACAGCGAAGCTGCCTGCATACCCTGATCCCACGCCCTCTGGGGCTGACCTAGAGCTGAGCCTGCCTCTTCCCCACCTACTTGAGACTCTACAGTTACACTTTATTCTTTGCAGTCCACTGATGTATTTGGACATTTGGGAAAAGCATCTTGAAGCTCCCAAAATGTTGTCCTGACTGTTGGTATTGTCAGCCCA